CACACTCACTGCAGTCTCTCCAACCAAAGTCCAGACGGTCGTAGCGCCTTAACATAACTATGGCGCCGCGCGCGGATTTCGTGTCAACCATATATCCGTGAGCATGTCGCGCGGATCTAAGGTGTGCTGTGGGCGCTCCTCAGCCGTGCGTTGGTGCCGACCTGTGCTGGCGAGGCGACTCTAAGGCGGTACCAGGTCATCTTTGGCTATTATAGTCCAAGCGGAGTGTTATAGTTGCGTTGCTATAAATGAAGGGGCGTGGTTGTACTGTAAACTACTACGCAGTATTGGGACTATAGCTATACTGTAGATCTTGTTTTTATTTTTATTTTACAGAGAATGAGCTCGTCGTGTGATGGTGTACAGGGCACTCCGCCACTTTTCTCAGAGTTAGGCCAGGGACGCAGGGGTCCATACCGCAAACAGGCGCGCCACAGAGACAGGACAGTAGTGCATACCACCAAACAGGCCCAACAGCAAGGAGCATCGCGTAACATCTTCAACCAGGTCTGTATGAACACCCGCGCTCCAGCTCTGGCAGACATAAGGTACCTAAAATGGTGTGAAGAAATAACGGTATTATGGCAGCTAGCACGCCTGGAAGGTCTTGTGGTGAATACCCTTCTTAAGAACGATGGTGTTGGATCTTGAGTGTTTTTAGCCACAGTGAGTCCTGTTAGAAACCCTAGATATTTTGAAAGCATGTTGCATTAAAGATAGTTCACTGCTTGTGAAAGCAACGAAAATAGCTAGCCTAAGGTGTGTCCTGGGTCACATGATATGACAGCCTCACGAGTTGGCAGTTGTGCTCTAGTTTAGCTTTCAACTTGACGGTGATAAGGCTGCCAATTTAGAACGGCAGCTATGGCTGTGATGAAAATCTAAATTATCTCCAGCTATCTCCATTTGATATTGGTGTGTTTTTGGTATCCAAAAAATCCCAACAACTAGCTTGAAACCTTCCCCCAACCTGCAATTCTTGCTACTATCAAAGCATTTTAATCGCGAGCGGCGGAAATGTGATGTTTTTAAAAAGCTAGATAAAAGGATTGTTGTTGTGGCATCCCTTGGACATACGTAGTTTGATTATGGCACGTGACCAGTTGCTGTCCCGCACAACCCCACTAACACATCAGCACGAAGAGAAGTCTCTAACATAGGGAGCTCCTCCTGAAAAGTTTCACCACTATTTTCCATTGATGTCCTAAAAATGAGTGATCTGGTTGAGTGGTCACAAGCCATTCTGAGACCCAATTAAAGTAATAGGTGTCCTTGATACAAAGGGTGGGACCTGATACTATGCTTGATGTTCAGTTTCGTCTTTTTGAGAGAGGACTTAATTGCCCCACTTACGTGAGGTGTATCAATGATGAATCCGTTCCCTGTAGCCCCAAAAGTCGTGGAATCTTCTTAGTTATTGACGCATGTGCATGTGTTAGTATCCAGTATGTATGGTGTCTGAATTGGGTTTGATGATTTCTTTCGACACAAGCCATTCATGAATATATTTGGAGCATTAGACGGATAGGCTACTATTTGGTTCTTTGGGCTTTGCCTCCGGAACACAGTGAGGTTTCAGAGGAAGGACAATCTTTTTGCAGTTAACACAGTATGTTAAAGCGGTGATACAAAGCAGCTAGAAGACTGAGTCGGCTTATAGTGAAGTTGAAGGAAAACTTTAGCATGGGTTGTCAATAAGACCCTGATGATGGAGTTATACTAATGGTTGATATCAACAAGCATACTTTGAAGCTATTATCGACACACGTTCTCCACTTGACCTTCAGCAGCCGCACTATTTATACTAGATCTATCCATGCCTGTCAAGCACGCTACATTGGTAGTCGACTGCAAGCTCCACTGTATTCCTTTCCCCCTCCCTTGTCTATATTCGTAGGTATAATGATCTGGTGTAACCTTGCTGTGTGTGTCTTAGTTAATGTGAAATGACGAGAAGCTGACAACATTAATGGTCACTGAGAGAAAAGTTTGGCCAGATTGCAGGGAGAATCCTTGTTTTGAGTATGTCGCAGTGTGTCAGTACAGGGGCATAAAAATGGCAATGCGCCTAGGAAATGAGTCTGTATTCAAGACGTCACCTTGGTAAGGGAAGATTTTGTTTGTCGGTCTTTGCAATATTGTGTGCATAACACTCCGCAAAAATCGCAAGCGGCTGGGAGCCAGAGAAGGGGGGATAAAAATTCCCTATTTTTATTAGTATGTTACACTAACCATAGCACTCGTCGATCAGTTATTGGAGAATACATCATGGATTATGCCCCAGTGATGGATTGTCCTTCCCTTATATGTCGAATTGGGTCGGCCAGGCTTGTAAAATAGTACCAAGTCTGGCAATTTTGTTCCTAGCGACGAAGCCAGGGAGGCATTTGTACCCTTATGATTGTGGCAGCGAAAGTGAAACAGTGGGCAGAGAAGCGAATTTCAACAAGGACAAATTTCCTTCTTTTATGGAGGTCTCGGTGTGACAAATTTCCGGAACAAATATCATTTCCTCTATATCTACTAGTGAGGCATTTTTCCTCTGAAGCATTAATGCAATTGTATCCCAATGGGAATGGTAACTGAGACCAGGTTAGATGAGCTTGAAGTGTGGCTTTCTTGATGTCTATCGGAACCACTGTAATACCATGAATACGATCGACTTTGAATGACGAAGATGAAGAATTTGAGCATATGCATCACATGAATCACCCCCGAGAGACGAAGTAACTTTAGAGGTAAGAAACTGGTTGGTTGTCGGACGAAGAATTATTATCATGGAGATAGATAGAAGCGACTATATTGCACGAGGAAAGAAAATAGAAGGAGAGAAGAAGTTCTGATTATTATGATATCTTCAACAATCACCAAAGAAAAACCAGAGAAAGCGAAAGCGTGGATCACAAGCAGGAAAACACTGTCCAAATCAGGAAGAAAGAGAGAGAGAAAAGGATCCAGAATGGATTTCGATAAAGCTATGAGAAGGAGACAACCGAAGAGATTGAAGATGTCGCTTACTTAAAAACAAGCAACGTTGGAAAATGTATTCATTTTTACTGGGTGCCGGAATTCGACGGTGATAAGTGTGTAGGACGTTTAGAAGGTCCTGCCAGCGGCCTTGCAACAAACATGTAGCGACGTACTCCCACATCAATGCAAGCAGGAGAGTGTTGTATGCCACCTTGCTAGTCCGAGTTGGGGAGCGACATCATTGGCATGAGTGCCCACTTACTGGAGCAGCATAATATCCATCACATCACTGAATAAGATTTCACCCAAAGATTGGGATCACGAAGAAGCTGCTGAAGTCTTTGAGTCTCACGTCATAACATCCGTTACCTCCCTCTGTGCAGTGCAACTCATGTCCTCACTGGATGGATGCACACATAACAGCTTCGTACCATAACCAAACCACTAGGAACTTGAGAAAAAGTTATAAGCTTGACGTCTCCTGACCTTTTCATGAGGCTTATGTATCGAGAACGGTATTCCTCATGTTACCCTACAGTCCAGCACAGAATGAGGCCAGACATTGCTCACTAATACATCCAGCTATCTATTCCTGATGCTACAAAACGGACCACGAGCAATTAAGCATGGGCACACAAATAGCTGGAGTTGGTCAAACCTTTTTTTATTCACCATGAAATAAGAGAGAGGAGAGGCACAAATGCAGAGTCGCTTAGTCATAAAAATATTCATGAAGCTGCATTCATGGTTGCCTTGTGTCGCTTCATCTCATCAAGCAAGGCTACAAACCAACACAAATCACTCTCTCACATGTACAGAGGTCAACTATTGGAAATGAGGAGTAGAATGAAGAGAATGAATTTGAAGGTGTACGTGTTGCTGCGTGGATGACTTTCAAGGTGAGGAAACGATATTATTCTACTGTCACTCGTGAGAAGCAATCCGCACGCAGATATTGGATTTTTAAAGATCGAATAAATAGGGTCTGTGTTGCACTTTCCAGGGCTAAGAAAGGGTTGTATGTGATTGGAAATTTTAAAATGCTAAAGAAATGTACTATATGGCAACAAATCCTGTCGGTTGTGGAACGAAAGGATTGCATTGGACATGCTCTACTGCTCAGGTGTCAAATCACCAGAGAGAAAACGATATAAAGGCAAGATCCAGCCGATTTTAGCAAAAGCCCTGAGGGAGGCTGCACTAAGCCATGCGATTATCGTCTCAAGTGTGGTCACGTTTGTACCCACCTGTGCCATCCCTGGGATTCAGAGCACAAATCCTATAAATGTCGCAAATTTTGTGAAAAGGTTTTACCGTGTCAGCACAAATGTAGAAGGAAGTGTTATAACTGCATTGATGGGTGTGCACCTTGCTCAGAAGAAGTGGAGAAGCAAATACCACATTGTGGACACAATATTAAAATGAAATGCTGCGAGAACCCATCAACCTTTCCCTGCTCTGCTCCATGCCAAAAGTTGCTCTTGTGTGGCCATGTGTGTCAGAAGCTGTGCCATGAGAGGTGTGCTATTCTTTGTCCTATGGAAGTGGAAAAAGTGCTACCCTGTGATCATTCTGTTACAGTGGCATGCTATAAAAATGTAGAGAGCATCAAGTGTTCGGTTCCATGCAATACTTTGCTAAAATGTGAGCATGAATGTCAAGGCACTTGTGGTTTATGTTTCCAGGGAAGACTGCACATTCGTTGTAAATCTAAATGTGGCCGTACGCTCGTGTGTGGGCATATATGCGACTTTCCCTGTTCAGCTGAGTGTCCACCATGCACAGCTAAATGCTCCAACTACTGCTCTCACAGCAAGTGCCCAAAGAACTGCTACGAGCCTTGTGATCCCTGTGCAGAGCCTTGTCAGTGGAACTGCGACCATCTTAAATGCACTAAGAAGTGTGGAGAGCTGTGCAATCGTCCACGATGTAACATGCCGTGCACGAAAAAGCTTCGTAAATGTGGCCATCCATGCATTGGTCTTTGTGGTGACAAGTGCCCCAAACTGTGCCGTGTGTGTGACAACGATATGGTCACAGAGATATTTTTTGGAACGGAAGATGAACAAGATGCCAGATTTGTTCAGTTGCAAGACTGCAAGCATGTCTTTGAACATACCGGCCTTGACAAGTGGATGGACAGGAATGAATCTGAGGAAATACAGTTCAAAAAGTGCCCTCGCTACAGCATTCTCATTCGAACAAGTTTGCGCTATTACAATGAAGTAAAGAAAGTTCACAATCACTTTGAGGAAATCAAGAAAGAGCAGCTTCAAATGTCAAACATTGGCCAAGTTCTAATACCCAAATTTAGGGAGCTAAAATCAAAGAGAGGGCAATGTGTGGAAGTTATAGCTGGTGTTAAGAAAATTGAGTCCCTGTTAAGTACGTATACACGGCCTCGCTACATTTTGCCCCACTGCCTGAATGCCATTCAGAACCAGCTGGTAATACTACCAACTATTGTCACTATGTACAATGAGTTGACTCAAGTAGAGCAAAAGAGCTGGCAGTTCAGAGACTGCAAGATAAGCAGGGAAGAAGTTCACCGACAGCTACAATGTGTGCAAAAGTTTTTAATGCAACAGTCTCTGACAGACCAACAGCTCAGTGATATCCAATGTGAAATCAGGCGACTCAACTGCACGATTCGTCTTTTGAAGCTCCACTCGCTTATTAAAGAGAAACAAATTACCATCACACCTGAAGAACAAGAGCGTTCCGATAAGTCTGCAAGTTATGTCTACCACAGTGGAGCAAGACACAATATTCCAAAAGTCTCTAAAGAATTTGTGGATGGATTTTCGAAACTAATAACATTCTTTGAAAAAAAATACAAGCTTGAGGGGATAACGGAAGAGGAGCGTGTGGAGATTGTCAAAGCTATGGGTCTACAAAAGGGCCATTGGTTCAAATGTCCAAACGGACACTACTACTGCATCACAGAGTGTGGTGGAGCAATGGAAGAAGCCAAGTGCCCTAATTGTGATGCCAGGATTGGTGGAGCAAACCATACACTTCGGGGAGATAATCGTCTGGCACCGGAAATTGATGATGCACGATATGCAGCCTGGTCGGACCAAGCCAACATGGCGAACTATCAGTTTTAATCAGTTATACTAAGTAACAGTGTAGGCGTGTGTATGTGTAACGCAGTGCTGTGTAATCTTTTTACTACAAGACGTGTGCTTTACCCATGACCTCACCCAAATGTAGCAGCCTGAACGGTGGATTTCATAATAGTTTTGTTGAAAGACATTTCATTGTATGTATAGTGAGTATCTACCTATGTACATTTCCCACTCGTGTTGTCTTGGTTTTGTATATTTTGGATGCACTCTTTCTGAGAAAATATGGACAAATCCAGTTAGTCGAAATGAACTTGTGGCAATCACGCACTGAGCATGTATGTAAGGTGATATGGTGTATAAAGTCATTAAATAACTGATAAAACAAGTGGAGTTTTAGAAGTAGGTGAGCAGCTACATTCATGTGCTTCTTTACCAGTGCCAATGTCAGGTTCTTGAGCTAGTCACTTAACAAACTAATCCTTGAGTTTTCCGTCATCTGAGCTATATCAGCAGAAGAGGTATGTATAATGTACCATATACTGTAGACACACTACTGTTGTCGGTAATAATGAATGCCACGTCATATATACTAAAAAAGTCTATTCGCGTTCACCTTGCCGGTAGGAAATCTGCCGTAATGTAGCTAAACAGCGACCGATTTCGAAATTTCAAAGCGCAGCGTGGTTGTAGTTGAGCGTAGGTTCTATTTATCTGCTTCGCGAGCGCTCACTTACGTACTTAGCTGTATGTCACATAAGCAAAGTACGCGACGTTCCTTTGACCACGAAAATGCAATCGCGTGGGTCCAATGTGGCGCTTATGTGCGCGCGTGCGCGTAGCGCAGCGCGAGCAACAACCCTCTCTCCCCGCCGCTACTGCGGGAGCCCAGACCAAGGAAAAGGCAAGAAGGAGAGGTTTGTTGTTTGAATAAACCGTCTTACTAGAAAAACTCACGGAACCACACGTGGAACGATGAATACGCACGCGCGGCATAGCATTATAGCGTATATACATCCAAATGAAGCTGACATCCAACCATCCATCCTGTCGAGCGGCTGGTGTGGACTTCCTCCCTATTGTTGTGGAGACACTAGGAGGTTGGTACCCTGACGCCATTGCTACCATCCGTTCAATAGGTCGAGCATTGGGTCAGCGGCTGAACTCCACCGATCCGATTGACATGACGAAGCATCTTTTCGGCCGTCTAGCAATAGCCCTATGGCGAGGCAATACGGGCCTCTGGATGCACCGCCATCCATCCCTCCTCCCTTCCGTCGATGGTCTAGCTTAATTTAATTAGTTTTTATTTGTTGTCTGTCAACTTTTCCTTGCCGTCTACTAGTCATTTTTTCCTCAGTTTCTTTTATTATACATCCACCGCCCACAAATATTCGCGATATTTCAATTATGACGCAACCTTGCGTAAAAGTTTTGTATCTAGTGCACTTGCGGCGGCAAGGTGAACGCGAACAGACTTTTAATTTCTCTGTGTCACATGACAGGATGTCACCGTAATTCTGCAAATTGTTGCTGGCGTAACCTGTTTAAACTTATCTATGTGTTTGTCGTAATGTTTTCCCTTGAGAGATGTGAAAGTCAATAATAGTGACGTGTTTTCAATGCAAACATTCTGTGTATGTACTAACACACACGCACACACATGCATACACACTCACACACACACACACACATGCACGCACGCACACACACACACCCACAGTCTCAATCCAGAGAAGGACCCTCTGTGTGCCCTCCTCATCATTGACTACTGTGCAGTGAGAGGCGGAGAGTATCGATTCCTCATCGACCTCTTCCATGCTTGGGAGGTCAGCCTAACAACATATTGTCACTCTTCTACAGTACCGCTGGTGTTGCATCATATGTAACTCTACTTCTTTTTGTAACTCTACCTCTGGTATTAATTCTACTTCTTTTTCCTCATGTAGCCACACAGGAACCTATCACAGCTACCCAACTTTGCCTTCTCTGTCCCCCTGGCCATGTTCCATAGCCAGAACAGGGAGGAGAAGGAGGGAGAGAGTGGCGGAGAGACGGAGGCCAATAAGAGACTTCAAGATGCTCTGCTAATGTTCCCCTGTGTGAGTATATTATAGTCAGACACCTTGGCAGAAAACTCCAGTGAACATGTTTCCAACTAAAAGAGGCAAAAGCATAGCAAAACCAAGTATACACACATGGATCATTTCTCCCCACACAGCTCCTCCCTATCCTGCTAGACAAGTGTGGTGTCACGCTGGACCCTGCTGTCACCAGTCACTCATTCTTCATTGAGAGGTACAAATGGACTTACCCTACTACAGTTACTAGTGGACACTCTCATAATGGAGCATGAATTGTGTGGCCAGTGTGAATTTGCCAGTATAGACATGAGTATTGGATGATTGTGTCTGACAAATAGGGGGTGTCACGTGGTCATTCCTCACCTAATAAGCTCCCTGCTGATCAGGCTATGTTATAACAGTTTGTTTGTGTTGTGTTGTGTTGTAGATTCTAACCCTACCAGCTGAGTTGCCCTGGTAGCTCAGTTGGTAGAGCGCTCCACACTCCAGTGTCGTGGGTTCGAATCCCACCCAGAGCAGCTCTTCTTTCGAAAATAAAGAACTGTCCTGGGTGTAGTTAACTTGTTTGCCTTGCCTTTCTACCTCATTACCAAGTTGTTAAGGACATGCACGTATGATACTGTAATGTACAATCGGTATTATTACACTGTGTGTTCTGTAGGGAGCCAAACGGCCTAAAACGCTCTATGTTGAGAGGAGCCACTCTCTATGGAAAGAGCCAGAGGTTGTTTTAGCTTAGCTAACTAATGTACAAGATAGTGAGATTGTTCTTTATCAGAATTGGGTCATGAAAAACATCAACATGTTTTCGGGGTAGGTGCAATGCTGTTTTGTTTATGCACTCTCCTGGTGGGGTTTTCTTTGCTCCTATCTGTTGTTAGTTTCCTGCTCTTTCCACATGTTTATCAGGTGCTGACGTGGCTAGAGGCTAACTGTAGAGTGGCAGTGGCCAGGGCTAACGACAAAGACCCTCTAAATACAGACTTCAGGGCCAAGTAAGTGTGGAACATCTGCTCTTGTTTTCCCTAATGTTCACTGGACATTACTTTGTTATGTTGGGTAGTTCACATACCTCATTACATACCTCATTACATACCTCATTACATACCTCATTTTATTCCCCACTAACTGTATTCATGTTGATAGCTCCACTACCTGGTAATAATATATTCCCCCACTGTAACTCCCCTGAGTGAATAATGTTAACATGTAATGACACTGGGATTGGTAGAGGAAAGTAGCTGTGCAATGAGTATGGTGTGGTTGTTGTGGAGATGTGTATGTATGTTCTCCCTCCATGCAGAGCAGTCAAGCGCTACAGTAGAGTCCCAAGGAACATCTATCGCCACATTCTCATCTCTGATCTGGACCGTGTCGTGTCTGCCCTCCCACCTGTGAGATATGTACATGTGTGTATAAACCTATTAGGAGCAATCCTGTATGTACCTTAAATACATGAATGTATACCGAATTTCTACGGATTTGCAATCTCCAAAAGTGCCCGGGTTTCAGTTCCAGAGCCTTTCAAAACCTGCCAAAGTAGCAAAATTGCCTAATTCTTTAGGGACAACACTGACAACTGAGACTAATTGCTTCGTTCCACTCTCCTCTACCCATCCTCTAGGATATGACCCAGACCTCTATAAACTCCTATGACCCTCTACCGCCTCCTGCCTCAACTTGTGGCTATGAAAGACCACAGATACAACGGTGAGCACCAAGTATTTCCACAATAACTGCATACAGTGTGTACACATGAGGCAACAGTGAAGTTTTGTGGTACTTGACATGGCAATGGTGGTATATACATATGTGAAGAGTGATTGTATTGCCTGCGTAGGGGCCCAGGAGCAGGTGATGTTGCTGAGAATCCACTTATTTTGCTCTTGAGATCTCTTCTCCCCAACTACAACCACATGGTACATACATCTTAGTTTTTACTTTGACATAATAGGAAGTGTGTGTAGAATATGACCAAGTATATACAGTGGAAACTTGAAATTCAAAAAATGGACACATAGGGACCAGGCGTGTTATATAGGCAGGTTGTCCTCCCTTTGGAGGTATACTAGAAAAGTTTAACGCTAGGGATCTCAAAGTGTGTCCTTTATTTAGAGGTTTTCTATTGTGTCTCGGAGTGTCCTTCATATGAGGGTCTACTCTATCTTTCTTTTGGCCAAGGCTGAGGGTGGCAGGCAGCAGGGAGGAGGAGGAGGAGGAGTAGGGATTGGTGCCATGATCCACAGACACGTTGACAGAGTGAGGCAGTACTACGAGGACTACTACGCCCAGCACGAGGGAGAGGAGAACGTCCCTCCGCCTCCTCCACCTCCTCCAGCGGACCTGCGGAGAGAGAGAATGAGGGAGCTCCTGGGGGGGTTGGATGACGTCCACCAAGATCTGATGGCGGCCCTCAGGAACATTGTCGGTGGACTTGCTGCACCCAATGAACACAGTGACAGTAGTAGCTCTGCTGATGAAGCTGCATAATTTTTTGCGAAAACAGGAAGAGCGTTACGCGGATGCATGCGCGTAGGACAATCGCGTTCGCGGCGCGACTATAATACGCCGGCAGCTATAGCTAAGCTCTAGACTGTTGACGGGAGCCTCACAGTATGGATTTGGATGGTGATTCGGACTGGGCCGAGGATACTTCGGACGGTTGGTCGACTTGCGACCGCAGGCGTACCCGGCAAGGTTGCCGTAGCGATTATGGCGCGAGGACTGCAAGTCGAGGGCGGGCGCGCAGCGTCGGAGCGGAGGCGACAAGCGGCCCTGGAGTTCATCGGGGCAATATGCATGCAATAAGGAGCTACAGTAGCGTCGTCGCCAGAGGTCGCGGAGGAAGAGGGGCCGGCGGCCGAGGGAGGCCACCCGACCATCGCATCGGATCACCTTCTGTTGAAGGTGAGCGAATAAGAGGAGGTCGTGGTTGCCGCGCAAGAGGGCGGATTCACGCGGGTGTTCGCGGTAGGGAAAATCGTGGGGGTGCCGCCGCGACACACTGCGGCAGAAATGATTCATCGCCGATTACTACTATTTTCATAAAGAAACTCTCCATTATGGAGCCACATATTGTAGCAAAGAAAGTTCATAATCAGCTCAGAGATTTTCAAAGAACAATTGAAGACCCTAAACTATTCGTGGGTAAGTCAGGAGTAATGGATGCTATAATCCAAATTCTACTGAAGCTTGCAACACTGGCCAGTGAAACCGAAGGAGATGAGCAGCGTTTAGCTAGCATAATAATTGCCGAAATATTGAGCGAAAGAAGTCAAAAGTTTAATATGCAGCTAAAGCAAGCAGTACAAAGCAAATGTACAGTTTTTCAAGCAGGCATTTTCTGCAATCTATTTCTATCAATGCTGCTAAGATTTGAATCACTGGCATGGGAATACCTTCCAATTGATGAACTTCATGGAACAGTCAGGAGATTAACAAGAGCTGGCACAACTGATCCAGCATTACTGGAAAGGGCCGAGGATTTGTGTGAAATTAGAGATCAGATTCGAGACAAAAAGGCTAACACAGCTGTAGCTGCTGTTGACGAAAGTGATGATACAGGTTATAAGTCTCTTCCAATACTCCCAGAGTGGAAGGAAATCAAGGAAGACAATGGTACTCCCCCTGAGGTTCGTCCCAATAAAGTGGACGCTCCATACAAGGACTGGATGGAGTACTATGACATACAGTTTCGTCTCGTTCGGGAAGATTTCATTGCACCTCTGCGACGTGGTGTGACTACCTTCCTACAGGGAGACAAGGGAAAGAAGAATAGAGATGTTAAAACCTACAGCGGAGTCACGATTGTGTCTCAAGTGACAACAAAAGAAAAAGGAATTTGTTTTAACGTGAAATTTGATGTGTCTCGTTTTCGAAACTACAACTGGAGTGTAACGAAAAGGCTGATTTTTGGGTCGCTTTTATGTTTCATTCCTACACACGAAAATCCCGAATCGACTGTTCTATTTGCAACTGTTGCTGAGAGTGATTCTTTGAAATTAAAAGAAGGGAAAGTAATGGTTCAATTCGAAAAAGATATCCTTGAGGCAATGACCTACTGTAGAAATGAAACAGAGTTTGAAATAATCGAATCAAATGTTTATTTTGAAGCAACAAGTCCAATTCTCCGAAGTATCCAGACAGCAAACACTGAAACAATGCCATTCACAAAGCAAATAATTCACGGAGATTGTGGTACAGTTTTGCCACCGGTTTACTTACGTGCCAATGAAGAAGAGTCTCCTATATATAATCTAACCTGCTTATATGGATCAAAAAGACGACTAAAAATGTTAAGGGTGAATGTTTTGGAAAAGGAAAGCTGGGAGGCAGCGAATGACAGTGAACTAGATTCATCACAGCTGAGTGCAATCCAGACAGCTCTGACTCAAGAGATTGCTGTCATTCAGGGACCACCAGGGACAGGGAAAAACCTACATTGGGTTAAAGATAGTTGAAGCTTTGCTAGAGAATAGAAAATTTTGGGATCCCAGTAGGTCAAGTCCAATATTAGTAATGTGCTACACAAATCATGCCCTGGACCAGTTCCTGGAGGGAATCATTGACACTGAATGTTGTGAAAAACCTGATATAATCAGAGTCGGTGGTCGATGTAAGAATGAAAGGGTTGATGCTTTCAACTTAAAAAGGACTCGTAAAGGCCATCGACATAGTGAGTATTCTTCAGATATTGCAAATTTGTTTCGTGAAATGAAGGTTTGCAACCCAGAAAGAGCCTTGGAAAAATTAAACTCACATTATCGTCGCAATATACTTTTACAACTCAGTTTTATCAGGACAGTTGCTGATCCAGACCATTACTACCAGCTGACGCAAGTGGTGAAATGCAAGGAGCAGGTAGGTAACGAAGCAGAGGTTTGGCTGGAACTATGGACAGATAAAGCACCCCATGGATCAAAAAAGGATGGCAATACAATGGCACTGCAACAAACCCAAGTCAAAGTCAGACCTTAACCAACAAACCGTTACAAGAGTTGATAGATATTGAAGGCGAAGGACTTCGTGCTCAAGATGAAAGAATGGATGAAAATGATGCAGAAGGTTATAAAAAAGTTAAATTGCTTGAACCTGAGGCAGAACCTTCTTCTTTCCCACATGCCAGTGAAGAATATTCAGACGATGAGTCAGACGTAGATGAAGATTCACAAAGAAAGCCCCCGCAGCGCTATCGCAAAAGTGATGCAGATAAAGTTATGCGTAAAAATTTGTTTAAGAATCCTATGGATGATGAAGATGCAAGGGAAGTGGAGGATATCGCTGAGCTAAACATCAAAGATCGGTGGAGACTGTATAACTATTGGGAAGAACAGAGATTCAAGTATTTGCAGTCAGAAAATAGAAACCTGGTCAGAGATTACACAGAAAAATGCAAAATGCTAGCAAGCTTGAGACAACTTGAGGATGGAGACACTTTGGAAAAAGCGGATGTGATTGGAATGACAACCTCTGGAGCTGCCAAGTACCAGCACATTCTCCACCGCATCAAGCCAAAGATTGTGATTGTGGAGGAGGCAGCAGAGGTTCTGGAAGCTCACATTGTCTCTGCTCTCAGTGCTGGCACCCAACACCTCATTCTCATTGGAGACCACAAGCAACTCAGACCCAAACCTAATGAACATGTCCTAGCAACAAAGTACAACCTCTCCATCTCCCTGTTTGAACGTCTGGTGAGGAAACAGATGTCTCAAGCAACACTAGAGATTCAACATCGCATGAGGCCAGAGATTGCTCAACTGGTGTGTCCTCATGTGTATGAGAAGCTCTTGAACCATGAAAGTGTTCAGAAATACCCTGACATACGAGGAATATCAAAGAATATGTTCTTCGTTCATCACAGTGAACCAGAAAGCGAAAATCCAAACTTGCTCAGTTATCAAAACGAATTTGAAGCCAACTACATTGTTGGTCTCTGTGCCCACTTACTGAGACTGGGCTACTCCCCAAGTCAAGTAACTATCCTCACACCTTATGTCGGACAGCTTCTGCTGTTAAGAGACAAGATGCCAAAGAGTGAATTCTGTGGAGTTCGTGTGACAGCAATAGATAACTTTCAGGGAGAAGAAAATGACATCATAGTCTTTTCAATGGTCCGCAGTACCAATCCCAACAGTAACAGAACAACAATTGGTTTTGTGAAAGAAGATAACAGAGTTTGTGTGTCTCTGTCGAGAGCAAAGCATGGATTCTATGCCATTGGAAATTTTGAGTTGATCCGTCACCAGAGCCGACTGTGGGAGTCAATCATCTCTGACGTGGAGAGCAGAGAATGTTATGGCAACTCCCTCCCTCTCTACTGCTGCAATCATCCCGAGACAAAATACTCAGCCCAGACAGGCTCAGATTTCGAAGCTAGAGCACCAAATGGTGGCTGCCGAAAAATGTGTGACATTCGGCTACCATGTGGGCACTCATGCACTCAGATATGCCATGTTGACGACACAAAGCATGCTAAGTTTAAGTGCATGAAAGCTTGCAGAAAAACATGTCCATCCAACCACATGTGCCAGTCTTTGTGTCACATGAAGTGTCTACCGTGTATTGTGAAGGTGGAAAGAGTCATGCCAAGATGTGGTCATATTCAGAGGATGAAATGCTCATATGACCCAAATCGATTAGCATGCAGTCAGATGGTAGTGAAAACAATACCCGTATGTGGTCATGAACAGGTGATGGCCTGTTCTGACAATCCTGCTCTTTTTTGCTGCCAGGCTCCATGTTCCAAATCCTGCAAAGAGGGTCATCCATGCCAAAAGAAGTGTCATGAAGATGATTGCAATGAATGCCTTGTTGAAGTTGAAAAAGAGATCCCCGGTTGCTGGCACAAACAAATGGTTCCCTGCCACATTTCTCCAGATCTATTTAACTGCCAGGCTCCATGTTCAAAATCCTGCGAAGAGGGTCATCCATGCCAAACGAAGTGTCATGAAGATTGCAACGAATGCCTTGTTGAAGTTGAAAAAGAGATCCCCGGTTGCCGGCACAAACAAATGGTTCCCTGCCACATTTCTCCAGATCTATTTAACTGCCAGGCTCCATGTTCAAAATCCTGCGAAGAGGGTCATCCATGCCAAACGAAGTGTCATGAAGATTGCAACGAATGCCTTGTTGAAGTTGAAAAAGAGATCCCCGGTTGCCGGCACAAACAAATGGTTCCCTGCCACATTTCTCCAGATCTATTTAACTGCCAGGCTCCATGTTCAAAATCCTGCGAAGAGGGTCATCCATGCCAAAAGAAGTGTCGTGAAAATTGCAACAAATGCCTCGTTGAAGTTGAAAAAGAGATCCCCGGTTGCTGGCACAAACAAATGGTTCCCTGCCACATTTCTCCAGATCTATTTAACTGCCAGGCTCCATGTTCAAAATCCTGCGAAGAGGGTCATCCATGCCAAAAGAAGTGTCGTGAAAATTGCAACGAATGCCTCGTTGAAGTTGAAAAAGAGATCCCCGGTTGCCGGCACAAACAAATGGTTCCCTGCCACATTTCTCCAGATCTATTTAACTGCAGAGGCCCTTGTCTTGAATACCATGTGGGATGCCTGCATCCCTGTGAAAGAATGTGCTGGGAACCTTGTGGGGACTGCAAAGTGTTTGTTGTGAAAACTCTACCAGATTGTGGGCACTTTCAAACTGTTATGTGCTACGAAGATCCTAAAGCAGCCGAATGTATAGAGGAATGTGAGATGATGTGTCCTGTCAATTTACATGTCCTAAGAAAACGGTGCAATGAAGAATGGCCACAATGCATGGAGCTGGTAACCAAAACAGTCCCAAAATGTGGACATAAAATTGTGGCAAAGTGTTATCAAGACCCCTCTAGAGTCCCCTGTTATAATCCTTGTACACGCTCATGTGATTACAAGGGCCACAAATGCCCAAAACTGTGCCACGAGAAGTGTGCTCCATGCCTCACAGAAGTAAAGGAGTCCCTACAATGTGGGCATACCCACACCATGCCCTGTTTCCAGGCATCGACCAATAGGTTCATCTGCCGAACAATATGTTCAAAGCCCATGTGTAAAGAGGGGCACATGTGCTCAAAACAGTGCCATCATCCCAAATCATGTGGACCTTGCAGTGAGATTGTGTGCGTCACATTGCCATGCTCACATGAATGTAGGGTGAAATGCTTTATGAGTGTCGATACTAAAAAGTTCAAAATACATTGTGAGCACCCCTGTGAAAAGAAACTGAAGTGCGGTCATAAATGCCACAAAAAGTGTTGGGAAAAGTGTCAGAAAGTGTGCTACGAGAAAGTGTACGCTGGACTGCCTTGTGGTCATCACAAACTGATTGAATGTTGCAAAAACACTCACGAATTTATAGCTACCGTTAAATGTGACAAAGAAACATCTTTACAATTAGCATGTGGACACAGTATCAAAGCAAAGTGCTGGAAACAAAAAGATAAAATATCTTTGAAAAAACTGTGCAAAGAGAAGTGCACTAAAAACCTAAAATGTGGTCATCCTTGCAAGGGACCTTGCAATGAGCCTTGCACAAAATATTGTAAGAAACGTGTCAAAAAAAAATTACCATGTGGACACGAAGTACAAATCAAGTGCTTTGAATCCTGTGGCATGAATGACTGTCAGGAAAGATGCCTCAAGAAATTAGAATGTGGTCATCAATGCAGGAACAAATGTGGAGAGCCTTGCTTAACTTGCAACCAGAAATCAGTTCGTCCTTATCCGTGTGGACACTCCTCAAAGATACCTTGTTATTCAAGTATAGAGGATCATCCATGCAAGAAGAGGTGTGGAGTTGTTCTCAGTTGTGGCCACCGTTGCTCGGGAAAATGTAGAGACTGCTCGTTATTCCAGATGCACCCCATTTGCATGTTTGAAGTAAAGCTGCATCGTTACTGTGGTCATTCTGCAATCCTGCCCTGCTCTGGTCTGTCTGATTCGTGTGATCGCAAAACACATACAGTTCCATGTACACACACGGAAGACTACGGCAACTGCCACAAGCCTTGCACCTGGAAGTGCAAGCACTTTGAGTGTGAAAAGGAATGTAGAGAGGAATGCGACCGACCTCCATGTGATCAACCTTGTGACAAGCAATTGTCTTGTGGTCACAGGTGTCCTGGACTCTGTGGAGAGTGGTGCCTGAGTGTATGCTCCCACTGCGACCTTGTCAACTTCACAAAAAAGTTTCACCCTAAACCGAAACAGGGAAAACTGCCAAAACATGAGCCTTTCTTTGAGCTAAACTGTGGGCACATTTTCACTGTGAAGTACCTGGATGACTTCATGAAGTCAAATGCTGAAATTGTGAGGCCGAAGCAATGCCCAAAATGTCACCAAAATATCGATGTTGGAAATCGCTATGGAAATGATGTGAGGAGGGCCATGGGCGCCGTAAACGACGTTAAAGTGTTGATGGCAGAGCTTCAAACAGTATCGGTACCAAAAAGGATTGAGTTAAGGCATATATGTCGGTCACTGGCAGATCACGATCATCATTTTGGCAGTAATGGCCTTAGGGCAATTCATGAAAAGCTCAGAAATGATTCTCCTGTGAGTCCTGAAGAGAGATGTTTTGTTCAGTGTGCAGATTCATACTGCAAAGTCTATGGCAGCTTAAAAAGGAGTGAGATGTTCTCCTCGGGAAGAATGATATTGAACCAAATGATGGAGAACGCAGAGAAGTGTGTAGTGCCAAAACACGAATTTGATCGACAGCGGCCTGAAACTCCGTCTCAGATCCATCTTTCATGGCAGCTACTTGAAGACTACATGAGCCAACTGTACCATTTGGCACTGTCCGCTCAGTGTACTACTGCAAGAAGCCACCTACCATTTTCTGGTAGAAACAGAGGAAGCTCTGAATGCGCCGTAGCAACTGTTGAGCAGGATATTAAATCTCTGGATCCAATGAAAGACAGAATATCTGAAGCAAAGTATGAAGAATACTATAGTCGAATATCTTCAGCTGTTCCTGATGCAGTTAAGGTTCACGTGAGGACACCACGAATGCCAAAAGTTGTCAAGGGGACATGGATGAAGTGCCCAGCTGGACATTACTACTGTGCCCCTCCAGTCTGTGGAGCTGTAGCCAGGACTGATTACTGCTGTCCTGAATGCCATATATAAAGACATGCACTGTGAAAGACGTTGTGTTTATTGTGCCATTATACATTGTTGTAGCATGTACCAAGTTTATACGGTCTATTTTCATACAGTGTTACACTTCGGTGCAGACTAATGAAGATACTAGAATGTCAGTAGACACTCTATATAGAGATGGCACAGGTGAAATCTCACACGATCCGCTTATATATACAAATGCCACAAAGATCATCAACAAGACCAATTTCTGCTGCTAAAAAATATCTCCAAATAACAGTTCGTACACACAAGATCGATGACCCGTTGAGTCTGATGTTGTCCTTGTCTCCGAGAACTTCATCCAGGACTTGGTGACTTTGAATGCGTTCATGGTGGTGGCAAATTTCTCACAATAAACTGCGTCTTTGTTTTCTTTCTATCTGTGTGGAACATGACAATAACAATGATAGACACTCTAGCACCAAATCTGCGCTTTCGCTTCTTCGCCAAAGCAGAAGAAAGGGGTCGGGGCTGGTAGCGTCCTTCCTGCACAATAATTAGCTTTACTCGCCGACGAAATCGCCCATGAGCTCCACGTAACGCCACCCTCCCGCCCACCACAGAGAAGTTGTCGACGCTAGGCCGTGTCCTCTACCTCGGCCTCCTTGAGCGGCCGGTCCCCGCGACTCAGAAACTCCTCCCAGTTTTCGAAGCGGGAGCGTCGCGTCTCCGCTGCCTCTGAATAGGACGGGACACCATGGGGTTCCGAGAAGGCTCCGGGTTCATTGCACGTTTGTACGCATGCGCACTGTCGTTTTATCAGGGTTTCGGGGCGTGTCTGAACCCGGTGTTCTGTAAGTGGTTTGCTACGTGGTGTTGCATGCAGTGTGGCTGTGTTCACTGCGGACTGGCTTATTACCTAGCACTGATGTTTCTTTTAGTGAAAGATGGCGGCCTCCAGTAACCTGACCAATAAGCTATCGACACTGATGGTGTACAATGCTACTGACAGACTGACTGTGGAAGAGACGAGGCAGCTAGTGTTCCAAATGGGTGTGCCGGTCAAAGACGTTGATAACATCAGGGAACAGAACAGTGGCAATATGCAACGCGTCTACCTTGTGGGAAAGTGGCTTGATATGACCCCCGATGCCAGCTGGGACAAACTAGTTGCTGGACTGAGGAAGATTAACAAGAACTCTTTGGCTGCTGACATTGAGTCTCGACATCCTCCAAACGCTACTGTTGATTCTGTCGCCCCCCTCGCTCCAGTGACTGCAACCCCAGCTCCCGTCGACCCCCTCGCTCCGGTGACTGCAACCCCATCTCCCATCGGTCCCCTCGCTCCGGTGACTGCAACCCCAACTCCCGTCGACCCCCTCGCTCCGGTGACTGCAACCCCAACTCCCGTTGGCCACCTCACTCCAGTGACTGCAACCCCAGGTCTCGTCGGTCCCCTCGCTCCAGTGACTGCAACCCCAGGTCCCGTCGACTCCCTCGCTCCAGTGACTGCAACCCCAGCTCTTGTCAGTTCCCTCGCTCCAGTGACTGCGACCCCAGCTCCCGTCGACCCCCTCGCTCCAGTGACTGCAACCCCAACTCCCGTTGGCCACCTCACTCCAGTGACTGCAACCCCAGGTCCCGTCGGTCCCCTCGCTCCAGTGACTGCAACCCCAGGTCCCGTTGACTCCCTCGCTCCAGTGACTGCAACCCCAGCTCTTGTCAGTTCCCTCCCTCCAGTGACTGCGACCCCAGCTCCCGTCGACCCCCTCGCTCCGGTGACTGAAACCCCATCTCCCATCGGTCCCCTCGCTCCGGTGACCGCAACCCCAGCTCCCGTCGGGCCCCCTCGCTCCAGTGACCGCAACCCCAGCTCCCGTCGGCCCAACCCCAGCTCTTGTCAGTTCCCTCGCTCCAGTGACTGCAACCCCAACTCCCGTTGGCCACCTCACTCCAGTGACTGCAACCCCAGGTCCCGTCGACTCCCTCACTCCAGTGACTGCAACCCCAGCTCCCGTCGGTCCCCTCGCTCCGGTGACCGCAAACCTAGCTCCCGTCGGTCCCCTCGCTCCGGTGACCGCAACCCCAGCTCCCGTCGGCCCCCTCGCTCCAGTGACCGCAACCCCAGCTCCCGTCGGCCCAACCCCAGCTCTTGTCAGTTCCCTCGCTCCAGTGACTGCAACCCCAACTCCCGTTGGCCACCTCACTCCAGTGACTGCAACCCCAGGTCCCGTCGACTCCCTCGCTCCAGTGACTGCAACCCCAGCTCTTGTCAGTTCCCTCGCTCCAGTGACTGCGACCCCAGATCCGGTCGGTCCCCTCGCTCCAGTGACCGCAACCCAAGCTCCCGTCGGTCCCCTCGCTCCGGTGACCGCAACCCTAGCTCCCGTCGGTCCCCTCGCTCCGGTGACCGCAACCCCAGCTCCCGTCGGCCCCCTCGCTCCAGTGACCGCAACCCCAGCTCCCGTCGGCCCAACCCCAGCTCTTGTCAGTTCCCTCGCTCCAGTGACTGCAACCCCAACTCCCGTTGGCCACCTCACTCCAGTGACTGCAACCCCAGGTCCCGTCGGTCCCCTCGCTCCAGTGACTGCAACCCCAGGTCCCGTCGACTCCCTCGCTCCAGTGACTGCAACCCCAGCTCTTGTCAGTTCCCTCGCTCCAGTGACTGCGACCCCAGATCCGGTCGGCCCCCTCGCTCCAGTGACCGCAACCCCAACGTCCCCTGCACAAACCTAGCTCCCGTCGGTCCCCTCGCTCCGGTGACCGCAACCCCAGCTCCCGTCGGCCCCCTCGCTCCAGTGACCGCAACCCCAGCTCCCGTCGGCCCAACCCCAGCTCTTGTCAGTTCCCTCGCTCCAGTGACTGCAACCCCAACTCCCGTTGGCCACCTCACTCCAGTGACTGCAACCCCAGGTCCCGTCGGTCCCCTCGCTCCAGTGACTGCAACCCCAGGTCCCGTCGACTCCCTCGCTCCAGTGACTGCAACCCCAGCTCTTGTCAGTTCCCTCGCTCCAGTGACTGCGACCCCAGATCCGGTCGGCCCCCTCGCTCCAGTGACCGCAACCCCAGCTGCAAACCTAGCTCCCGTCGGTCCCCTCGCTCCGGTGACCGCAACCTCAGCTCCAATCGGTCCCATTTCTCCCCCTGATAACACTGAGGAGACATTTGAACAGAGAGTAGCAGGGGCTAAAGAATGCGTGGAGCGCCTACAGGAAGAATTTTTCGACCTGAAATCCGATACTCGAGAGTCTCTCTCAGAGAAGGAACGTCGAGATCCAAAATTTGTTCTAAAGTTTCAAGATTATCTGCTGGAAATGCCAGTAGCTAAAAGGCAAGTTCACATTCGGTTCTTCAGTAAAAATGCAGAGGAAATCCTGGGCGCAAAAACTATACGAAGGCTGTTTGTTGTTCTCGGGCGCTACTGCAACTACTCCAACTACAAGATAATCTTCCATGTCGTCAAAAGGTTCTGTCAAGAACTAAAGGAAAGAATGCTGACATATCGTGACTGTCTCATCAGTTTTGAAAAGTCCACGACAGTCGATGTCTACCTTTGTGTCATTACCGCTAGTCCTGGTGGTGAAATCATGAAAGGATTCATCCGCATGACCATGAAGATCAACAAGCCACCCTCTGAGTGTTCGCTGTATGAGATCCGAGAGTTGAAGGAGTCCATTGAGGAGGAGGCAGCTCTGGAGTCATATGCCGTGTACATCGAGACCCCAGGGGAGGGCTCTGTAAGCGTTAGCCTGTGTATTCATGAGGAGGTGGGTTGGATGGCGGGTGTGGTCTTTACTGCCGAGTTCAGACAGGAACATCTCCTGACTGAAGTAACGGTTGTGCATAGGAGAGGGGTTCAAGATATCATAATATACCTGGTAAGAAACCAAGTTGTATCTTAGACCAATGAGCACCCCCCTACCTGAATTTCTGAACAGGCCACTGACTGTGTTTTGCTTGGCTGGCACTCTCGAATAAAAAGCCACTATGTCCACCCAACAAAGCGCCTCCTCGAAACAATTAATTGTACCCATTCGTCAATACCGAATTAGCCACAGGCATCCAGCTCTTGCTCTTAGCTTCGTCGTTGGATAGTTTTGTGGGCAATGCTTTATCCCATACTGCCCTTGTAACTTACATTATACAAATCTGGTTGATGCACATAACAACGTCAGTACTCCTTTCACCCTGAGCCCTGGAGAAAGAGTTATAACTAGTAAAGAAACGTGAAAACAATTCGAAAACCTCACGTTTCCCATTCTGATGTGTCCTTCAATAAATGTCTAACAAAAAGGTCGCTGTACGTATGTCCCATTAACTATAAGTAAGTATGTAGTACTTATGTATTCTATAAACAGTTTACATAATGAGTTCCGGGGCTCAGGTGAATGCAAATAGATTACTGCTGTCTCATTCGCTTGCGTTTGCTTCATGTGTGAGGGACACCAGTCACACGTATGCTGCTGTAACTCGTGCTGTGCCTGCACACTGCTGAGGCACTTCTCGCATGCAATTACACACTAATACAGTGAGTAGAGTCCAAGTCAAAGATAATACTGTTGCTCCTGTGTTCAATCCGTCCCTGGGTACACTAGAATGATGAGCTGAGGTCTGCTTCTATAAAAGGGGATGTGGAGGCAGTGACTTCACTACAGACAGCTGGAGCTGATGTAAATACCAGGGACTTGGTAAGTACACCTTACCATCAGTATCACATACACAGCTAGTGAGTGGTGTGTGATAACCCCAAAACCGGCATTGTCTCACTACAACATGTCACACAGAATGAAGACTCTGCACTGATGTTGGCTGCCAGCAATGGTAGGACTGAAGTTGTTTCACTGCTGCTAGAGGCTGGAGCTAACATTCACCAACAGAATAAGGTAATGAAGATGCATGTTTTGAGCTACTTGAAGTTTTGTATCAGTAATCCTGATAACTAGTGTGTGATGTCTCACTATGCATGTTTGTCATCACATAGAATGGAGACTCTGCACTGATATTGGCCGTCAAGTGGGACAGGACTGAAATTGTTTCACTGCTACTAGAGGCTGGAGCTAACACTGACCTACAGAATAAGGTAAAATGCCAGTGTATCACTAAGTATGGTAGTCCACTTAGTATAGGCATGGTACACCTACATAGCATCACTATGTAGGGATGGCACGGGTCAAATCTCACATGATCTCACCATCCCTATATCTTTGTTCTTCCCGTCAGACAAAGATATAGGGATGGTGTCATGTTGTGTGTCTTAGCTGTGTAATGATCCCTTGTTATTTCCTTTTTGGTGCTTTGAGCCATCCCTATATCCCCTTCATTTTGAAGATTTTCCAATTGTTCTGTGTGACATGTTGTTGTTGTACGCATTCATGGTTGTGTACATGCATTGCCTTTGTGTTTTAGTCTCATATTCATCATTGCTGCACCGCCCTAGCTACGAGCGAATCTCTAGCCTCGATCCCAGACCTTCTCGTATATAATTTGCGAGGGAGGAGGGAGAAGGCCTGTAATTGATATGGTTCAAAGGTCACACATATAATTATATCGAGGGAGGAGGGAGAAGGCCTGGGACCGAGGCTACGAACCTCTGCGCATGTGCCTCCACACCCGCCGTGCACCAGCTAAAGTGCAAACCCTTAGCCTTGTTCCCAGTCCGCTCTTTGCGGGGGAGGGAGAACGGCCTTGTACCAATCTGTAACCGTCCATCCCCAGTCTATATTACTTTGTATGACGACTGAGAGTAAGATCAAAGGAATTCCAGCTAATCCAAACAACGTAGATGCGTAGTGAGCGCTTCCTGCTCAGTCTACGGGTAGTTAGAACATAAAGAGGCCATACAATTTCCCCATACTTTAGCTGTATGTCAACTTATTTGCATAAACCACAGTGGGGTTAGACGATAGTAGGAAATTGGCAGCGTGGAATGCAATTGGGGGCTTTTACACTCTTTGTGTGCTGCTGTTTCTTTACCACAAGGGAGTGTTTTCAGGCAAGAATGGCCAGAAACTGCTCTAGTATTATACGCGGTCTGAAAACTACCGAAAGCTGCTTCCCGACGCGTAGGCTCCCGTGGACTGGAACAGTATTCGGTGACTCCCAGCTTTCTTGCTACTGCAACAGGCTGCATTCGAGAGTGCTGGGTATAGCGGGAGAGAAAGCGCGCTAGAGCGGCAGCTACAAAACTCGTGTGGAGTCTAGCAGCGAAAAAGTATAGCTTTTGACGTACCTGTAACGTTGAACTCTCGAGAAATGACCATGGCTTCTGCACAACCGCCCAGCTTAACTAAACTAAAGCGCGTTTTGCAGCTGTCTCTCTCCCTATCGATTGCTAGAGCTCTCTCCGGCCGTATAAACACTCGAGGGTGTGCGTTAAACAGAGGGCGTTTTGAACACTTTTGCGCAATCTCATTGGTCAGAGCCTTACCGCCGGAAGTCATCATACAAACACGTTATACGATGGCATTGGCTTGTGGTCTACTGATTGCACACTCGTGGCTTCAGTTTGATAGACCACTCGGGCTATGCCCTCGTGCCCTATCAAAACTGGCCACTCGTGTACAACCAGTAGACCACGCGCCGCCATCGTATAACCTATACAAGTATTATACCTATACAGCATACCTAGAAATATATACACCCAATGGATACTTATTTCAGGCAGTCATGAGCGGGTGCAGTGGTGGTGGTAGGACGCACCATTATAGAAGTCCCCGCGAGAAGCCTCCACAGCAAGGGACCAGTTCTCCTCGGAGTGATGGAAATGCTTGCACTCGCAGTGGCGTATTTCCCCATCACGGTTCCACACCCCAGCCGAACAGAGCGGGAAGACGAGGGCTTCAAGGAAATTCGCCGGGGAATATGTCCCGTGGATGGGGTGATCGCAGGCAGGTGAGAAGGGGCCATCAAAGATGGTCACCATATACATATGACCAGCATTCTCCGATTTCTATTAGTGAATTAGCTAATCTTGAGCCTAGGTTGTTAGTAAACAGGTTAAATAACCAGCTCAAGGAATTTCAGCAAAAAATTGGAGATGCCAATACTCTAATGGCTGATGTGGTTACAGTTCTTTTGAAACTTGTTGAATTGACTAGCAAAAGCAATAGTGAAGAACAAGGTGATGCTAGCAAAATAATTGCAGAAATTTTAAGTGAGCGTAGTGAAAGGTTTCATTTTCAACTTAAGAGAGCTGTACAAAGCCCTAAGTGCACGCTGGCTCAAGCTGAAAAATTTTGTAGTCTGTTTGAGTCTCTGCTGCAAACATTTCAGTCTCTATCAAAAGATTGCCTTCCAATGGATGAACTTCTTGAAACAGTAAAAAGATTAACAAAAGTCGGTACCATTAATTCTGAATTGCTGGAAAGAGCTGAGAATTTATGCAAAACAAGAGATCAAATTCGAGACACACAGATTAACCCATATATCATGGCTGTTGATGAAAGTGATGATACAGGTTATAAGTCTCTTCCAATACTCCCAGAGTGGAAGGAAATCAAGGAAGACAATGGTACTCCCACTGAGGTTCGTCCCAATAAAGTGGACACTCCATACAAGGACTGGATGGAGTACTATGACATACAGTTTCGTCTCGTTCGGGAAGACTTCATTGCACCTCTGCGACGTGGTGTGGCTGCCTTCCTACAGGGAGACAAGGGAAAGAAGAATAGAGATGTTAAAACCTACAGTGGAGCCACAATTGTGTCACAAGTGACAACAAAGGACAAAGGAATATGCTTTATGATACAATTTGATGTCTCTGGCTTCCGTAGAGTCAATTACAATTGGAAGCAATCAAAGCGGTTAATATTTGGTTCGCTTTTGTGCTTTTTGTCTAGAATGAACAATGAAATAAGTGCCATGTTTGCTACTGTTGCAAAACGAGATATATATGAATTAGAGAAAGGAAATATCATGGTTCGTTTTGAAGGCAATATACTCTCCGAGCAGTAAATCACTGTGCAATGGGTACAGAGTTTGATATTATTGAATCGAATTCCTATTTTGAAGCAACTAGCCCAATACTTAAAAGTCTACAAGAAGCTGAGTTGCAACAATGCCATTCACAAAACAATTAATTGAAGGAAAGTATGAGTCGGTTTTACCACCAGCTTACCTTAGAGAAACAACTCAAGTTCCCATATACAACTTGTCTTGCCTGCATGGGCCAGTGAGAAAGAGAAAAAACAAGCCTCCTCTAATGATAGAGGTTCTAAATAAAGAAAGCTGGAAGGCAGCGAGTGATAGTAAACTAGATTCATCACAGCTGAATGCAATCCAGACAGCTCTGACTCAAGAGATTGCTGTCATTCAGGGACCACCAGGGACAGGCAAAACCTACGTTGGATTGAAGATAGTTGGAGAATAGATACATTTGGGATCCTCTCAAGTCATGTCCAATACTAGTAATGTGCTACACAAATCATGCCCTGGACCAGTTCCTGGAGGGAATCATTGACACTGAATGCTGTGGAAGAAAACCGAAAGTTATAAGAGTCGGTGGTAGATGCAAGAACGAGAAAGTGAACCGCTACAATCTGAGTAAAGTACGTGAAAAGTTATCAAAACAGCATTATTTAGAAAGAGAAAAGCTGCAATGTAACCCAAATGAAGTTTGGCAATATTTAAAGGATTATTTCAAACGTGACACACTCTTGCCATTGTACGTCTTGCAGAAAGTAGTTCATCCATACCACTACTATCAGCTGACACAGATGGCACAATGTGCAGAGCAACAACATAAGGAAGTTGAAGTCTGGCTGGATTTATGGCATTTAACCTCTACCAATGTGCGTCACTTTCCTAATGAGGACAAGGATTTAATTGTGGTGGACAAAGTTGGTCAGTTTAATGATGAAGTAGTCCAAGGTAGTGTAAAAGACTTGCCTGAACAGGAAGATGATACTTTCCTCATAGACTATGACAGACAGTATGAAGGTGATGATGAAGGATATAAGAGTGCTATATTGCAGAAAAATTTCACAGAAAAGATAATGAGCCAATATGTTCATCCTTATGTTGAAGATGTATTAGCATATGAGCCAGACAATGACAGACCAAAAGTTGAATTTGAGGGAGAGAAATGGGTTCGTAAAGTAAATGCCAACAAATGGATAAAACAAAATTTACACAAAAACTCCATGGATGACGAAGAAGTTGAAGAGCTATCATATATTTCTATTGCTAAATTAAGTATTGAGGATCGATGGCGATTGTATAATAACTGGGAAGAACAGTGGTATAAGTTCTTGCAAGAAGAAAATAGAAAGATGGCTCAGGAGTACAATGAAAAGTGCAGCGAAATAAATGAATTGAGGCAACGTAAAGACCAGCACACACTAGAGTCAGCAGATGTGGTAGGAATGACCACCACAGGAGCTGCCAAGTACCAGCACATTCTCCACCACATCAAACCAAAGATTGTGATTGTGGAGGAGGCGGCAGAGGTTCTGGAGGCTCACATTGTCTCTGCTCTCAGTGCTGGCACCCAACACCTCATTCTCATTGGAGACCACAAGCAACTCAGACCCAAACCTAATGAACATGTCCTAGCAACAAAGTACAACCTCTCCATCTCCCTGTTTGAACGTCTGGTGAGGAAACAGATGTCTCAAGCAACACTAGAGATTCAACATCGCATGAGGCCAGAGATTGCTCAACTGGTGTGTCCTCATGTGTATGAGAAGCTCTTGAACCATGAAAGTGTTCAGAAATACCCTGACATACGAGGAATATCAAAGAATATGTTCTTCGTTCATCACAGTGAGCCAGAAAGTGAGCACCCAGGCTTGCTAAGTTATCAAAACGACTTTGAAGCCAACTACATTGTTGGTCTCTGTGCCCACCTACTGACACTGGGCTACTCTCCAAGTCAAATAACTATCCTAACACCTTATGTCGGACAGCTCTTGATGATAAGAAACAAGATGCCAAAGAGTGAATTCAATGGAGTTCATGTGACAGCAATAGATAACTTTCAGGGAGAAGAAAATGACATCATACTCTTTTCAATGGTCCGCAGCACCAATCCCAACAGCAGCAGAACAACAATTGGTTTTATGAAAGAAGACAACAGAGTTTGTGTGTCTCTGTCGAGAGCAAAGCATGGATTCTATGCCATTGGAAATTTTGAGTTGATCCGTCACCAGAGCCGACTGTGGGAGTCAATCATCTCTGACGTTGAGAGGAGAGAATGTTATGGCAACTCCCTCCCTCTCTACTGCTGCAATCATCCTGAGACAAAATACTCAGCAAAGGAAGGCTCAAAGTTCAAAGCTAAAGCACCAAATGGTGGCTGCCTAGAAAGGTGTGACATTCGGCTACCATGTGGGCACTCATGTACTCAGATATGCCATGTTGTCGACACAGAGCATGCTAAGTTTAAGTGCAAAAAGCCGTGTGAACGGAAATGTACTGAAAATCACAAATGTCAACCAGAACATAATTGTTGTGGCACCTGCCCGCCATGTAGAGTTAAGGTAGAAATAACCAAGTCTGAATGTGGCCATAGGCAAATGATTGAATGCAGCTTAAAAAGTAAGTTCCTAAAACCCAAGTGCCAAGAGATAATTTCCAAGACTCTGCCTGAGTGTGGCCATGTGCAGAGTATGACATGCTCCTCTAATCCACGGTCAGTACAATGTAATGCTCCATGCTCTAAGAAATGTCTCAATGGGCATTTGTGTCCAAAGAAATGCTCAGAACATTGTGGATCCTGTTGTGTGGAAGTAGAAAAAGTTATTCCTGACTGTAACCACAAACAAATGATTCCCTGTCACCTGCAACCTCATTTAGGTCAATGCAGGCATGAACAGGTAAAGTTGTGTCCAAATGGACTGCACCAACTTAAAAAGTTTTGCTCTGATGAGTCGTGGCCTCAATGCAAGGCGAAAGTTACCGAAAAGCTTTCTGATTGTGGCCATACAGTTGAAGCTCAGTGTTTTGAAGACTGGTCATCTATTATCTGTGATAAGCCTTGTGAAAGGTCATGTGAAGCTGGCCACAAGTGCCTTAAACTCTGCTATGAGAAATGTGCACCCTGCCCATCAGAAGTAAAGATTACTTCACCTTGTGGACATACACATGTAATGCAATGTGCACAAGTCTGCGAAAATGTCAAATGCCCAACGAAATGTTTGAAAGTGAACTGCGAAAGAGGTCATTTATGCCAAGAAGAATGCCATTATCCTCAACCTTGTAAACCTTGCAGGGCAAATGTGACCATTCAATTTCCCACATGTTCGCATCGGCAAAATATAGAATGCTACAAGAGCCTTAACCCAAGCAAGTATGGTTACACTTGTAAGAGTGATTGTGAAAAGAGACTTCAATGTTCTCATATGTGCAATAAAAAATGTGGACAAGTCTGTCAACAAGTATGTGCTGAGAGTGTCAAAATTAATTTAGAATGTGGCCATGAGACAAAAGTTGAATGTCACCGAAAGCATAACAGAGACCTACTCGTTTTGAACTGCAGGAAGCGAATAAAACTTAAGCTTTCATGTGGACATACTCTTCGAACTGATTGCTGGAAGCAAGAATATAAACTTTCATTGAGGAACGATTGCAGGAGGAGCTGCAGAAGATTCCTTAAATGTGGTCATCCTTGCCAGGAGAAATGTGGCAGCCCATGCACAGTGAGCTGCAAATTTCCTGTTACAAGAACTCAGCCATGTGGGCATGAAATCATTATCGAATGCTTCCAAGCAGAGACTATGAACCAGCATCTATGCAATGAAAGATGCTGGAAGAAATTGGCATGCGGTCATCCTTGCCAAAACACCTGTGGAAAGCCTTGTTCAACGTGTCATCTTCAGTCAATGCGCCACTATCCATGTGGACATTCGTCCAAAATACCTTGCAACTCAACCATTGAGGCACATCCATGCAAAAAGAAATGTCAAATTGTTCTCAGTTGTGGCCACCGCTGCTCTGGAAAATGTGGGGATTGTTATTCATCAAGGATGCATGCTGTCTGCATTTTCGAAATCAAATTACGTCATTATTCTGGTAAATTAGTAACTTTGCCCTGTGCTGGCCTCTTTGATTCTGGTGATCACAAAACACCTCAAATTCCATGTGCACATTCAGGTGACCACAGCAATTGCCATGAACGGTGCAGCTGGGACTGTAAGCACTTTAAGTGTGGCCGGGAATGTACAGAGGAATGTGACAGACCTCCATGCAACGAGCCTTGTGACAAGGAACTGTGTTGTGGTCACAGGTGTCCTGGACTCTGTGGAGAGAGGTGCATGAGTGTGTGCCCTCAGTGTGAAAAAAGGGAATTTATTCGGCAGTTGCACCCCACAGCGAGGCTCGGTCACATACCAGCTAATCAGCCTTTCTTTGAGCTTGATTGTGGGCACATATTCACAGTTGGGTATCTAGATAAATGCATGGAATACTCAAATGAGAAAGTCCAGCCAATGCAATGCCCTAAATGTAAAGAGAATATAACCATAGGATCTCGTTATGGGAATAGAGTAAGAAAAGCTGCAAAAGATGTGATGGCCATTGAGGACATCATAAAAGAGCAAGAGAGTGCACTTGATCATGTGACTCTGACTCTCACAGATGATCTCATTGAGAACTCTCAATATCTTGGCCTCATACAGAAAATATTACGCCCACCAAAAAATAGTGAAAGAAGTTGCTTGACTGAATTTTTCAACTCGTCTATGAATATACATATCGCCTTGCAGCAGTATGCAGCTGAATACCCAAGCATCTCTACTATAAATAAGAAGATCATAGATTTGGTAGGCATTCTAATAGACGGTGCAGTAAAAGAACCACAAGTAGCAAGGAATGCATTATTTCAAGCTCATAAGGAAGTTAGACTGGGTTTAACTTCTCAGTTGCTGAATGATTTCAAAAGTGAACTCTATCGGTTGGCTTTGTATGCACAGTGTTTGCTTGTCAGAAGCCAATATCCACCAATCGAAGGTACAAGAGAATAAGATTAACTTCTGACCCCAAGATGCTATAGACCAAGTAGAACAATACATAAACTCCCTCAATCCACTGACACAGAGAGTATCTGAAGATGAGTATGAAAATTACTTCAGTAAAATTGAAGTTGCAAATCTCTATGTGAGCGCCACTACAGTACCAGTTGCAACAAAAGGAGTATGGATGACATGCTTTATTGGACACTATTTCTGTGTACCCCATGTTCGTGGACCTGTTCTAAGACACCTGTATGCCCAGATGCAATACATGTATATAGCGTTCTAGTGAGTATGTCTTAAAATAATGATTATAATTATTGAGCAATTGTGAATCTAATTATTAGCATGCCATTTGGTCGCATTCTATACCAAATCCTCCTAGCTCTTGCTCACACTAGCTATATTGCATGCTCCACCTGGAAGCATTACTACCTGGAAGCATTACTAGCATGCTCCACCTGGAAGCATTACTAGCATGCTCCACCTGGAAGCACTCCATTGGTGATTCTGAATACAAGCATGCCCATCTAATGAGCATTCAACACCAACTTTTGTAACCCTGAATACTAGCATTAGACATTCCGCATGACTCTGAATACTAGCAGGCCCACCTTGGAGCATTCCGTGTCCAACTCCTCGTGACTCTGAATACTAGCATGCCCACCTGGTAGACCGAACTTAGTAGTGTCATAGCACCCTTGAATCAGAATTCATGTCTTATTTTATGAGCTGCTAAAGTTCATTTGTGACTTGTCAAAGTTGATAGTTGGCCTTGCGTTTTTAGCACTTGGATGTGAATAATGGGCAGGGCACATGAGTAGTGTCTCTTACATCAACTACATACTACGCAAGGCTTACAGGGTCCCGAGCAGTCACCTGGAAGCATTACTAGCATGCTCCACCTGGACGCAATGACTACCTAAAAAGCATTCCATTGGTGACACTGAATACAAGCATGCCCATCTAATGAGCATTCAACACCAACTTTTGTAACCCTGAATACTAGCATTAGACATTCCGCGTGACTCTGAATACTAGCAGGCCCACCTTGAAGAGTTCAACATCAGACTCTGAATATTATACTAGCATGCCCACCTTGAGCTTCCGTATCCAACTCCTCATGACTATGAATAATAGCAGGCCCACCTTGAAGAGTTCAACATCAGACTCTGAATAAGTATACTTGCATCGCCACATTGAAGCATTCCGTATCCAACTCCTCATGACTCTGAATACTAGCAGGCCCACCTTGAAGAGTTCAACATCAGACTCTGAATAGTATACTTGCGTGCACCACCTTGAAGCATTGCTCGTATCCAACTCTCATGACTCTGAATAATAGCAGGCCCACCTTGAAGAGTTTTACAAACATCAGACTCTGATAAGTATACTTGCATGCCCACCTTGAAGCATTCGTATCCAACTCCTCATGACTCTGAAATACTAGCAGGGCCCACCTGAAGAGTTCAACATCAGACTCTGAATAAGTATACTTGCATGCCCACCTTGAAGCATTCCGCTATCCAACTCTCATGGACTCTGAATACTAGCAGGCCCACCTGAAGAGTTCAACATCAGACTCTGAATAAGTATACTGCATGCCCACTGAAGCATTTACGTATCCAACTCCTCATGACTCTGAATACTAGCATGCCCACCTTGAAGAGTTCAACATCAGACTCTGAATAAGTATACTAGCATGCCCACCTTGAAGCATTCCGTATCCAACTCCTCATGACTCTGAATATAGCAGGCCACCTTGAAGAGTTCAACATCAGACTCGAATAAGTATACTAGCATGCCCACCTTGAAGCATTCCGTATCCAACTCCTCGTGACTCTGAATCTAGCATGCCCATCTGGTAGACCGAAGTGTCATAGCATCTTGAATCAGAATTCATGTCTTATTTTATGAGCTGCTAAAGTTCATTTGTGACTTTTCAAAGGTTGATAGTGTGCCTTGCGCTTCTAGCACTTAATAAAAGTGATGTGAATAATGGCAACATGAGTAGTGTCTCTTACGTCAACTACATACTATGCAAGGCTTACAGGGCCCCGAGCAGTCACATGCACAGAGTTAATACTACATTTGCAGCTAGATATGCATCTGCGGGAGTATAGAGTTAAAACATACTGTATAATAAGGAATTGTAACTTGAAATTCCATTGTTCATTCCGCATGTGGCTCAATGTCGTGTGGAGCAGGTATCAATATCTGAAATGAATGTCGATCCTACTTCTGTCGACTAAAATCTCATTTATGTACAAATGCAATAACAATACATACTACTATGTACATGTGTACATGTTCAAAAAATGTTAGTCATCAAGATTGTAGTTTGCCATATTGGCCTGGTCAGACCAGGCTGGGTATGCGGCACCATCTATCTCTGGTGCAAGAACGTTATCTGCAAGAAGAGTGTGGTGAGTTCCTCCGATTTGGCATCACATTCAGAGCACTTTGCCACCTCCATTGCTCCCCCACATTCTCCAATACAGTAATAGTGTCCATTCGGGCATTTGAACCATCGCCCCTTAGAAAGACCAATAGCATTAACTATTTCAATGCGCTCAGCGTCTGTTAGACCTTCAAGCTTGTACTCTTTTTTAAAACGTGTATTCAATGAATTTGTTACCTCAGCGAGATATTCAGACATTTTAGCTGTGCCTTTTGTTCCACTGCAATATACTTGACTTACACTTACTTCAAGACTCTCTTTGTCTTCTGGTGTAACATCACAATTTCTTTCCTTTAAAAGTGAGTGGATACTAAAAAGACGAATTACACAGTTAAGTCGTTGTATTTCACATTGAATATCACTGAGCTGTTGATCAGTTAGCGACTTTTGCATCAAAAACTTCTGCACACATCTTAATTCTTGATTGAGTGTGCCAACTGTAATATTGCAATCAATGAGTTGCCAGCTCTTCTGCTTTACTTGAGTCAACTCATTGTACATAGTGATAATAGTTGGTAGTATTACCATCTGGTTCTGAATGGCATTCAGGCAGTGGGGCAAAATGTAGCGAGGCCGCGTACCTGGGCTCAATAGGGACTCAATTCTCTTAACATCAGCTGTAACTTCCACACATTTCCCTCCCTTTGATTTTAGCTCCCTTAATTTGGTTATTAGCACTTGGCCAATGTTTGACATCTGAAGCTGCTTTTTCTTGATTTCCTCAAAGTGATTGTGAACTTTCTTCACTTCATTGTAATAGCGCAAACTTGTTCGCATGAGAGTGCTGCAGCGAGGACACTTTTTGAACTGTATTTCCTCAGATTCTTCCCTGTCCATCCACTGGTCAAGGCCGGTATATTCAAAGACATGCTTGCAGTCTTGCAACTGAACGAATCTGGCATCTGGTTCATCTTCCGTTCCAAAAAATATCTCTGTGACCATATCGTTGTCACACACACGGCACAGTTTGGGGCACTTGTCACCACAAAGACCAATGCATTGATGGCCACATTCTAGCCTTTCCAGACACGGCATGTCGCATCGTGGACGATTGCACAGCTCTCCACACTTCTTGGTGCATTTAAGATGGTCGCAGTTCCACTGACAAGGCTCTGCACAGGGATCACAAGGTTCGTAGCAATTCTTTGGGCACTTGCTGTGAGGGCAGTAGTTGGAGCATTTAGCTGTGCATGGTGGACACTCAGCTGAACAGGGAAAGTCACATATATGCCCACACACTAGTGTACGTCCACATTTAGATTTACAACGAATGTGCAGTCTTCCCTGGAAACATAAACCACAAGTGCCTTGGCATTCATGCTCACATTTTAGCAAAGTATTGCATTGAACCGAACACTTGATGCTCTCTACATTTTTATAGCATGCCACTGTAACAGAATGATCACAGGGTAGCACTTTTTCCACTTTTATAGGACAAAGAATAGCACAACTCTCATGGCACAGCTTCTGACACACATGGCCACACAAGAGCAACTTTTGGCATGGAGCAGAGCAGGGAAATGTTGATGGGTTCTCGCAGCATTTCATTTTAATATTGTGCCCACAATGTGGTATTTGCTTCTCCACTTCTTCTGAGCAAGGTGCACACCCATCAATGCAGTTGTAACACTTCCTTCTACATTTGTGCTGACACGGTAAAACCTTTTCACAAAATTTGCGACATTTATAGGATTTGTGCTCTGAATCCCAGGGATGGCACAGGTGGGTACAAACGTGACCACACTTGAGACGATAATCGCATGGCTTAGTGCAGCCTCCCTCAGGGCTTTTGCTAAAATCGGCTGGAATCTTTGCCTTTATCGTTTTCTCTGGGTGATTTTGACACCTGAGCAGTAGAGCATGTCCAATGCAATCCTTTCGTTCCACAACCGACAGGATTTGTTGCCATGTAGTACATTTCTTTAGCATTTTAAAATTTCCAATCACATACAACCCTTTCTTAGCCCTGGAAAGTGCAACACAGACCCTATTTTCGATCTTTAAAAATCCAATATCTGCGTGCGGATTGCTTCTCACGAGTGACAGTAGAATAATATCGTTTTCCTCACCTTGAAAGTCATCCACGGCAGCAACACGTACACCTTCAAATTCAATTCTCTTCATTCTACTCCTCATTTCCAATAGTTGACCTCTGTACATGGTGAGAAGAGTGATTTGTGTTGGTTTGTAGCCTTGCTTGATGAGATAGCGACACAAGGCAACCATGAATGCAGCTTCATGAATATTTTTATGACTAAGCGACTCATTGGGGTTTTGCCTCTCCTCTTCATTCTCATGGTGAATAAAGAAAAGGTTGTGACCAACTCCAGCTATTTTGTGTTGCCCATGCTTAATTGCTCGTGGTCCGTTTTGTAGCTCAGGGTAGATAGCTGGATGTATTAGTGAGGCAATGTCTGGCCTCATTCTGTGCTGGACTGTTAGGGTAACATGAGGAATACCGTTCTCTATAAGCCTCTGGAAAAGGGAGACGTCAAGATTATACTTTTTCTCAAGTTCATAGTGGTTTGGTTTGGGTCGAAGCTGTTTGTGGTCTCCAATGAGGATGAGTTGCTGCACAGAGGGAGGTAAGGAGGTTATGACGTGAGACTCAAAGACTTCAGCAGCTTCTTCGATGATCACAATCTTTGGGTGAATATTATTCAGGATGTGATGGTATTTGGCTGCTCCAGTAGTGGTCATGCCAATGATGTCGGCTCCCCTCGCTACATGGCAATCAATCTCCTGCTTCATTTGGGAGTAGTCGCTACATGCTTTGTTGTAGGCCTCGGCAGGACCTTCTAACTCCTGTTTAATCACTCTCAGATATTCCTGCACCCAGTAATGATACATTTTCCAACGTTGCTTGTTTTTAAGTAAGCGTACATCTTCAATCTCTTCGGTTTGTCTCCTTCTCATAGGCTTATATCGAAATCCATTCTGGATCCTTTTCTCTCTCTCTTTTTCACTGATTTGGACAGTGTTCCATGCTTGTGATCCACGCTTTCTCTTTCTCTGGTTTTTCTTTGGTAATTGTTGGAAGATATCATAATGAATCAGAACTTCTTCTCCTTCTATTATTCTTTCCTCTTGCAATATAGTCGCTTCTTCGTCGACAACAACCATTTCTTCCTCTAAATTTACTTCGTCTCTCGGGGGTGATTCATAAGTGTGCATATGCTCATATTCTTCATCTTCGTCATTAAAGTCGTCGTATTCATGGTATTCAGTTGGCTTCCATAGATCAAGCCACACTTCAAGCTCTCTACCTGGCTCAGTTACCATTCCTTGGGATATTTGCATATAATGCTCAGGAGAAATGACATCCACTAGTAGATATAAGGAAATGATATTTGTTCCGGTAATTGGCATACCTCCATGGAAATTGCCTTGTGGAAATTCACTTCTCTGCGAAATGTTTCACTTTCGCTGCGCATATATAAAGGTAACAATGCCTCCTGGCTATCGTCGCTAGGACAAAATTTGCCAGCTTGGTACTTTTACATCTGCCCCCAATTCGAACAATATTAGGAGGGGACAATCCATCACTGGAGGAAGAATCAATGATTTCTTCCAAAAACTGATCGAGTGCATGGTTTGTGTAGCATACTAATAAAATAGGGGAATTTTTCTCTGGATCCCAGCCGCTGCGGTTTTGCAGGAGTGTTTGCACAATTTTCAAGCCAATAAAAGTCTTCCCTGTACCAGGTGGTCCTTGAATACAACTAATTTCCTGGCGCATTGCCATTTTTAATGCCCTGTACTGCGACATGTCAAAACAGGTTCTCCTGCAATCTGGCCAACTTTTCTCATCAGTGACATTAATGTTGTCAGCTTCTTCACATTTAAGAACCTTTGCAAGGTTAAAACCAGGTGCATTATACCTACGAATATATAAGGGAGGGGAAGGATCGTGGAGCTTGCAGTCTACAATGTAGCGTTTGAAAGGCATGGTGTCTTTTAATAGTGAGGCATGCTGAAGGGCAAGGAGAACGTGTCGATATGCTTCAAAGTATGCTGTTGATTCAACCATTGTATACTCATCATCAGGGTCTATATTGAACCCACTAGTGTTTCCTTCAAACTTCACTATAAGACGACCTTCTTCTAGCTGCTTTGTATCCCGCTTTACTACTGTTGCAAAAAAGATTGGTCCTTCTCTGAAACCTGTGTTCGAGAGGCAAAGCAAAGAACCAAATATTAGCCTCCGGGAATGCTCCCAAATTATATTCATGAAATGGCTTGTGTCGAAAGAAATCTCAAACCCAATTCCAGACACAAGACATACTGGAGCTAACACATGCACATGCTCATACGTACGAATTCCACGACTTTGGTGCTCAGAGGAATGTTCATTGATCCCCTCACGGAGTGGGGCAATAAAGTCCTCTCTCAGAAGACGAAACTGAACATCAAGATAGTGGTCCCACCCTTTGTATGGACCCTTTACTTTATTGGGTCTCAGAAATGGCTTGTGACCACCTACCAGATCCTCATTTTGAGGAATAATGGAAATAGTGGTGAAACTTTCAGGAGGCTCCTTGTTATCTTCATCTTCGGCTGATGTGTTAGTGGGGGTAGTGCGGGACAGCAACTGGTCACGTGCTAAATCAAACTGTTGTCCAAGCTCAACACAATCCTTTTCTAGCTTTTTAACATCTTTTCCGCTCCGATTAAATGCTTTGATAGTAGCAAGAATTGCAGGTTGGGGGAAGGTTTCAAGCATAGTTGTTGGGATTTTTTGGATACCAAAAACCCCAATATCAATGAGATACTGGAGATAATTTAGATTTTCAGCCATAAGCTGCCGTTCTATTGGCATGCCCTTTATCAACCGGTCAAGTTGAAAGCTAAACTGAGCACAACTGCCATCTGGGCTGTATATCTGACCCAGGACCCTGGAGGCTAAGCTATTTTCGTTGCTTATCACAAGCAAGTGAACTATCTTAATCAATGCTTTCAAAATTCGAGGGTTGCTACAGGACTCACTGTGGCTAAAAACACTCAAGAATCCAGCCTCGTTCTGAAGAAGGGTATTCACAACCTTGCCAGGAGTGCTAGCTGCCAATTCCGTTATTTCTTCCCATTTAAGGTACCTTATGCTTCTGCCAGAGCTGGAGCGGGTTTCTACAGACCTGGTATGATGGTAACGCGATGCTCCTTGCTGTTGAGGCCTGTTGTGGTATGGACTTGTCCTGTCTCTGTGGCGAGGCCTGTTGCGGTATGGACCTGTCCTGCCTCTGTGGCGAGGCCTGTAACCATCACGCGAGCTCATTCTCTGTATAAATAAAAATAAAAACAAGAATCTACAGTATAGCTATAGCCCCAAGCTGCGTAGTAGATTTCCGTACACCACGCCCTTCATTTATAGCAACGCAACTATCGCTTGGTACTATAATAGCCAAAGATGCACCTGTACCCGCTTAGAGTCGCTCGCCAGCAGCAGGTCGGCACCCGGCTGAGAGCGCCCACGCACAATTATTCCGCGCATGCTCACGAATTATGGTTACCGAAATCCGCGCGCGGCGCCATAGTTATGTAAGGCGCTACGCCGTCTGGACTTTGTGGAGAGATGCATGAGTGTGTGTCTACAGTGTGACAAAGGGAAATTCATGAAAGTGTTCCATACCAAGGTTAGGGCCGAGAGAGGTCAACTACCAAGAAATGAATCTTCCTTTGAACTTGACTGTGGACACATATTCACGGTCAGAGATCTAGATGAGATCTCGGAAAGGACTGTTATGCCAAAGAAATGCCCTAAATGTCATCAGACCATAGCTGTCGGATCACATTACGGGAATATGGTTAGCTGACAAATGCATTGACTGTCTGATATTTAATGCGTTTTGCTGACGATCATTTAGCTAGCTCAAATTGGCATAGTTTTTTACTACAATCACTCCTGCAAGTAATGAGAAAAGATGCCTAACGTCAGAGAGTGATGCTAAACTTAGTCCTGTGATAATATTTCACTCAACAGACATCGCAGGCCGTTAGTCCCTAAGTCTAGAAACAGACAACTCAAGGATTGGTTTGTTAAGTGACTAGCTCAAGAACCTGACATTGGCACTGGTAAAGAAGCACATGAATGTAGCTGCTCATCTACTTCCAAAAATCCACTTTGTCAGTTGTTTAGGACTTGTCCATATGGACCATAGCACACACTGATTCCCTCAATGGCCGATGAACAGAATCTCCAAAGATTATAAGACAACCACTGTCAGATCACAGCAGCTGTTCCTATTATGTAGAGACTCCCTGAGTCCCAATGTTGACTATAATTATTATAATATTTTCTCAGAAAGAGTGCATCCAAAAAATATTCATTACACAACCAAGACAATATGAGTGGGAAATGTGTATAATTCATAGTAGATACTCACTATACATACAATGAAATGTCTTTCTACAAAACTATTATGAAATCCACCGTTGGTTAAATTTCAGGCTGCTACATTTGGGTGAGGTCATGGGTAAAGCACACGTCTTGTGGTAAAAAGGTTACTGATACACACACCTACACTGTTACTTAGTATAACTGATAAAAAATAATCAAAACTGGTAGTTAGCCATGTTGGCTTGGTCCGACCAGGCTGCATATCGTGCACCATCAATTTCCGGTGCCAGACGATTATCTCCCCGAAGTGTATGGTTTGCTCCACCAATCCTGGCATCACAATTAGGGCACTTGGCTTCTTCCATTGCTCCACCACACTCTGTGATGCAGTAGTAGTGTCCATTTGGACATTTGAACCAATGGCCCTTTTGTAGACCCATAGCTTTGACAATCTCCACACGCTCCTCTTCCGTTACCCCGTCCAACTTGTATTTTGTTTCAAAGAATGTTATTAGTTTCGAAAATCTATCCACAAATTCTTTAGAGACTTTGGGAATATTGTGTCTTGCTCCACTGTGGTAGACATAACTTGCATACTTATCGGAACACTCTTTTTCTTCAGGTGTGATGGTAATTTGTTTCTCTTTAATAAGCGAGTGGAGCTTCAAAAGACGAATCATGCAGTTGAGTCGCCTGATTTCACATTGGATATCACTGAGCTGTTGGTCTGTCAGAGAGTCTTGCCTTAAAAACCTTTGCACACATTGTATTTGTTGGTGAACTGCTTCACTGTTTATCTTGCCATCTCTGAACTGCCAGCTCTTTTGCTTTACTTGAGTCAACTCATTGTACATAGTGACAATAGTTGGTAGTATTGCCAGCTGGTTCTGAATGGCATTCAGGCAGTGGGGCAAAATGTACCGAGGCCGTGTGTCTGGACTTAATAGGGACTCGATTTTCTTAACATCAACTATAACTTCCACACATTGCCCTCCCTTTGATTTTAGCTCCCTAAATTTGGGCATTAGAACTTGGCCAATATTTGACATTTGAAGCTGCTCTTTCTTGATTTCCTCAAAGTGATTGTGAACTTTCTTTACTTCATTGTAATAGCGCAAACTTGTTCGAATGAGAGTGCTGCAGCGAGGACACTTTTTGAACTGTATTTCCTCAGATTCTTCCCTGTCCATCCACTTGTCAAGGCCGGTATGTTCAAAGACATGCTTGCAGTCTTGCAACTGAACGAATCTGGCATCTGGTTCATCTTCCTTTCCAAAAAATATCTCTGTGACCTTATCATTGTCACACACACGGCACAGTTTGGGGCACTTGTCACCACAAAGACCAATACATGGATGGCCACATTTGAGTCTTTTCAGACATGGCATGTTACATCGTGGACGATTGCACAGTTCTCCACACTTCTTAGTGCATTTAAGATGGTCGCAGTTCCACTGACAAGGCTCTGCACAGGGATCACAAGGCTCGTAGCAGTTCCTTGGGCACTTGCTGTGAGGACAGTAGTTGGAGCATTTGTGCATGGTGGGCATTCGGCTGCACAGGGAGAGTCACATATGTGTCCACACACTAGTGTACGTCCACACTCTGATCCACAGTGAATGTGCAACCTTCCCTCCTGACAGCGACCACACGTACCCTTGCATTTATGGCTCACATTGTAATATACTATTGCATGAACATGGGCACACGATTCCTTCAACGGCCTTGTGGCATTGCACGGTTACATTATGGCCACAGGATAGGACTTTATTCACCGGGACAGAGCAGTCAGTATTGCATGGCTGTGAGCAAATATTCTGGCAAAAGTGGCCACAAGGAAGAAGCTTGAGACATTGAGCAGAGCACGGCAATGTTGAAGGGTTCCTGTGGCATTTCATTTTCACGTGGTGTCCACATTGTGGTATCTGCTTATCCACCTCTTGATCACAGGGGCAACAACCATCAGCACATTGGTAACACTTTCTTTTGCACTTGTGGAGGCATGCTAATGTTTTTTCACATTTGTTTTGACACTTGAATTTCTTGTGTTCGCGGTCCCAAGGATGGCACAGACGAGTACACACATGACCACACTCGAGGCGGTAATTGCAGGGTCTGGTGCAGCCTCCCTCAGGGCACTTGCTGAAATCACTCGCTACTTTGGCTCGGACCACTTCCTGGGGGTGATTCTGGCACTGGAGCAGCAGAGCTTCTCCAATGCATTTCTTCTCCTCCACTACAGACAGGATTCGTGGCCATATTGTATCATCGCAGCTCCTTAGCATTGAAAAATTTCCAATAACATAAAAACCCTTTCTCGCTCTGGAAAGTGCCACACATACTCTGTTTTTAATCTTCAAAAACCCTATGTTTCTTTTCACGTTGCTTCTCACGAGTGACAGAAGAATAATATCGTTTTCCTCACCTTGAAAGTCATCCACGGCAGCAACACGAACACCTTTGAACTCGCTTATCTTCATTCTTTTCTTCATTTGCAGAAGTTGGCCTCTGTACATAGTGAGGAGTGTGATTTGGCTTGGTTCGTATTCTTGCTTGATGAGGTAGCGACACAAAGCAACCATAAACTCGGCTTCATGAATATTTACATGACTGAGTGACTCGCTTGGGTCCTCATAGAATTCATGGTGAAGAAAGAAAAGGCTGTGCCCAACTCCAGCTATTTTGTGTTGCCCATGTTCAATTGCTCGTGGTCCATTTTGTAGCTCAGGGTAGATAGCTGGATGTATTAGTGAGGCAATGTCTGGCCTCATTCTGTGCTGGACTGTTAGGATAACATGAGGAATACCATTCTTTATGAGCCTCTCAAAAAGGGAGACGTCAAGATTATACTTCTTTTTAACTAGTTCATAGTGGTTTGGTTTGGGTCGAAGCTGTTTGTGGTCTCCAATGAGGATGAGTTGCTGCACAGAGGGAGGTAAAGAGGTTATGACGTGAGACTCAAAGACTTCAGCAGCTTCTTCAATCACCACAATTTTTGGGTGAATATTTGTTAGAATGTGGTGGTATTTCGCTGCTCCAGTAGTGGTCATTCCAATAATGTCAGCCCCTCTGGTTGCATAACAATCTATTTCATTTTTTATTTGGGAGTAGTCATGGCATATTCTATTGTAGATTATAGCAGGACCTTCTAACTGCCGCTTCTGTACTCTCAGATGTTCTTCAACCCAGTAATGATACATTTGCCAGCGTTGTTTAAGACTTAAAAAGCGTAGGTCCTCAACTTCTTCTGCATTATTCTTTTTCATGGTTGTGTACTGAAACCCTTTCTTGATCCTCTTCCTCCTTTCTTTTTTACTTATTTGGACAGTCTGCCACTCCCCTGGTCTGAATTTATTCTTCTGTTTCGGCTTTGGCTTTGGAAGCTTTGCACGAGGAGCAAATTTATCATCGAAAAACACTTCCCCTTCCATGATTCTTTCCTCTTGTAGGATTTTTGCCTCCTCATCAACAGCAATCACATCATCTTCTGAGTTGCTTTCTTCTTGTGGTAATGGCTCCCCGTCTGAAAACCTGTTGAAAACTTGCAGCTTGTTCATATTCATCACTTTCATCAGTCTCGTTGTATTCTGTGGGTTTCCAGAGATTTAGCCATACCTCTATTTCTTTCCCTGACTCAGTTGGCATACCTTGAGACAACTGAAAAAAGTGCTCACTAGGTATAACATACTTCAATGTCGATAAGG